ACTAATTTTGAAGGTGGTCCATTTACAAAAAATCAACATCTTGTCTTATCTACATTGCTGTACAAAACAAAAAATACACAAAATTATACACATTAACGCATGTGTTCACATACCTAACTAAATCTTATACACAAAAGTGTGAATTTCTAAAAATGATCCGTTGTGCCATGTTTTAATGTTGATTCCATAGTGTTAAGACTTAAGAGTTTAGATTAGGTCATACGAAGAAAATCTACTGAAGCATAGAGCATTATTGAAAATATGCTACTCTCACTCACATTAAAGACGGTTAAATTCGTTTTGAAGTTGGTGATACTGACTTGTCTACTAACACAAATGTAATTAGACATATTAAAAGAATTGTTACTATTTTGAGTATTGCATCTTTGTTTCTCAAAAGTGGGCTCTATTGAATTGTTGGTTTAGGTAATGGAATTTTGTTGTATGTGTGAATTTATGAATAGGATTTGTGTTGGGGACACTTAGGCATTTTTGAGGTGTTAAAGGGAGCTTTCTCTTCCCACATGCTTTTGTTTATACTTCTTATCAACGAAACAAAATAAAATGGTATCCATATCTATCTCTACTTCATCAGTCATTAATGTACCAACCCTATTAATCTAATAGCCAATCTTTTAACCTTTAAAAAGAAATTAGTAATACTAAAATGTATATATATCGGACCACATTTGTAAATGATGTAGCTTTAAAGTTTTAGCCGTAAAATTTAATTAGAATTGTAGCTTATAAGATATTATAGGGTTGTACATTACCGATAAATGATCGGGTGATAGTTGGGAAGGATATTTAAGATATCCAAATTCATTATCTTAAGTGTTTTCTTAAAAAACAGATCGAGTAATGCGTATAATGAGTAGGATAAAGATAACTCGGATATTTAAACTAATGCCTAAAAATATTATTAAAGTAATAAAAATCAGTACTCAAACGAATAATTACAAATAATTCTGAAAATAGATCACTTATAAGTTTGAGAATTTTGGGATACTATTGTGAAATATTCGATTAATTGAATAATTTAAAATAATTATCAACAATTTTTGATAATTTTTAAATTAGTAACTACTCAAACGGGTAATTAGTAACTCGACTATTATCCGTATCTGTCATAGTAAGTTATCTTGATCTTTAGTATACAATTTGGAAGCACAACTCTATACCACCGAATCAAGATCATCCTCATCTAATTTAGAAGAAGTTAATCTCCTTATTCGAGTTCGACATGATCCGTTACCTCGAGCTCAATGAAATCTTACCTCACAACTTGGTTCCGCATATTTCCAACCACATAGACCCATTAGAGTTGCAAATACTTCTAAATTCGTTACAAACTTACAAATAATTTAATCTCGGCCCTTTTAATACTCTTAGAAAA